TGGACTTACGGAGTGGAGCTATGGGGCTCCACTAAACCATCGAATTCCTCTCGCATCCAATCCTTACAATCCAAAATCCTTCGTAAAATCCTCAATGCTCCTTACTTTGTCACTAATAAAATAATCCATAAAGACCTCAATGTTCCATATGTTTCCGATTTGGCCAAATCCAGATACCTATCCTTCCATAATAAACTGCATAACCATCCGAATCCTCTCGTTTCTAACCTTGCTTCCTCTTCGATTCCTGATAACCTTCCGAGGCGTCTGAAAAGAAGATGGCCTCTTGATCTTCTCATGTAGACAAATTATTAGAGTGCTACCAGTGGGTAGTTTCTCAACAAGCGTGTTTCATGTAATAATATTTCTCTGTACAAATTTACTAGATGTATTCATACTAATACAGTTGTAAATATCATAATAAAAGTTTAAAAATAAAAAAAAATTTAAAATTCAATCCTAATAAATTATTACTGAAAATGGTAATCACTTAACTTATAGTGGTGCTCCTCTCTTGCTTGTCAAATGAGCACTAAAAATTAAAAATAAAACTATTGACCAGATGGGCTGTCTCTCCCTACCGCCACATCTTTTCTCATTAGCTGCCACTAATTTTATGAGGCGTAATTGTGTCATTTTTATAATTATTTTCTTAATTTCTATTTTTTTTTAAGTACATTATGTTTTCTTTTGAAGTGGTGTTCGACATTTTTGTGGGTTTTTACTTTTTTGTGGTTACGAACAATTTAAAAAAATTATCTTTAAAATGTGATTTATGGCCTGTAAATTTTGTTGTAATCTATTAGCTAGCCAGTAAATAGTGCTGAGTTTTTATGAACAAGACTGACAAAAGTCAAACGGTATTATTATGTCTGTAGTTGTCGGTTTTCTGTAATGTTAAATGTTAATGAATTATTCTCAATGTAAATGGTCAATTCAAGGAAGTTAATTTTATTTTGGGATATATATACTATTGATATCTGTAACGAATTTATTTAATTTGTATATCATTCCTTTCTATCTACAGAAAACATCGTCAACATATCTGGAACAGTATCTAAGATGTATTTTAAAATTTCCATTGAGAATATTGTTTTTTCTAGACTGTCTAAAAACATCTCAGCACTCAGTGGGAATAATGAAGAGCCCATCGGCAAAGCGTCAATTTTGTAAAATTTGTAAGTAATTTTTTTTTTAAAGTGATTAAAACACAATGAAAGGAGAGCCATTATATCTTCACATAGAAATGAATTAACTTTTCTTTTATATAATAAAAATTATAGTTTTTCACATTAAATTAAAAGAAATGCTAGTAAACAAATTTACAACGTTGAAGCTAACCAGAATGAATGAATTTAGAATTGAGATATCTTTAATGATGTCAATTAATTCTATTGAATTTTTCATTGCACTGAAATTAGTCGTTACTAATTTTTTTATCTATTTTTTCCACTAATCTGAATTTTTCGCAAGTAGATGTAATTGGTCGGATGGAGCACCTGTTTTTATGACTTTTGGTATTACATAGAGAAGTGCTATGCTAGGGTTGATAAACATTATCGTTTTTTTATCAAAATCGTCATTGAAAAAAATATCGCACTATTTAATGTTTTTTTTTTCAAAATAGTGTCTATTTTTTCGGTTAGATCCTTTTTTTTTTTTAATTTTTTGCACCAGAGCTGTCTAAATAAAATCTGTATTAAATCTTCACACTTATAAAATGATCGATACAGTTTCGGATCCAGGAACTTTCTCGGAGGGGGGGGGGGAGGAAGAGAGCAGGTGAGGCAATAGTTACTGTGTGCCGTCTGGGGCGCCAACAGATCTTCTAGGGCGTTAACCACTCGTTATAAATAGAAAAAAAAAACTACCAAACGTATTGAAATAATTAATTTTAGCCCATAAATAAACAATTAGCATTAGAGAAACGTCGAATGAAATAAAATTCAAATATTGCATAATAAAAACAATTTAAGAAATAAATTAAATTTTTTGGCGGGGGGAGACGTCATTTCCCGAAGGCGACGAATGTCTAAGGGCGGCATAGTGGTGAATAACCACTGTCAACGAACGTTAATTCTTACCGAAATTGATTAATAGATTAAATTCCAATTTCTATCTCATTCAGATTCCGATTATATCGAAGACCAAATAATTGGGTCGTTATTTCATATATACTACCCTGCATGTACAATATATATAACATATGCTCAATTGCAGCTATTTTAAGAAATTAAAAAAAAACAGAGCATGTTTAAAAATTGCTAAAGAGAAATATACAAATTATTATTGTGACCAGTTCTTCAATTGATTGAATTCATCAAGGAGACTATAGTTGCTGGAAATTGCAATGCGTTCAGATCTATTAGAGCAGAAGAAAAACTTGGACCGTAAGAAAAACCCTATTCTCTTGTGCTCGAATAAAAGATTGTTCGAAAGAATAAATAAAGTTCATTAATTTTGTAAAGTAATATTCCTCCATAATGTACTTTACATGTGAGACTACGTTCGGAGTATGTAGGATCGAGCTGCTACAGCAAAATATTTCAGGTGCTAAAAATAGGACCTGTATATTATGAGGAAAAGAAATGTTCAGCCTTCCTTCTTCTTTCAACTTAGATATTATTCAAAATTGAATCTTACCCTAACACCGCGCTAAAGAGTAGGAGAGGGAAAAGGATAGTGTCTAAAACCAAGTTATAACGAGTTTTATTGAATATATGGATTAAAATATCTGGGAAACTAAAAATCAGACCAGCAAACAGTAATCAAACTGTTATCAATCTAGTCACTGGTTGATAATATCAGTGATATAATTGATTCCGATTTCATCACATTGTGTTTAGAACTTAATAACTGAATAAATGTGCAATCCCACAATAGAAGCGGAAAATTTGCGTTCTAAATGTGAATTAAAAATTAATTTTATGAAATTATATGTATGAATAAATTATTTTATTATATTTATAATTATTTTAGAGGAACAATAGTGTGTAGCAGGCTATCGTAAATGTAATATTTCTTAAATATTCGCATAACTTTGAAAAAGAAAAAATATTACCTATAGAATTAAATTCAAGATAAAAATTAATATTTTATTATTTTGCTTTAAGTGCATGTATCTTTTAGATCAAACGGCCTGAATTCAAATTCAAGTACCCTCGTAAACATAAATTTGAGTAGTATTCTTCAATTTCCGAGTAAATTAGAATCGATGTCCAAGAAACCTTACGTTCGACCCATTTTACGGTGGCCCTAAAACTGTGTCACTTCATCCTGGCAGCCAACTTTTGTTATTCCATTCTATTCTTTGTTTCACAAAATCTCGCCGTAATCCTAAGGCCAGGCGCAAGCTGAGACACAGTCTGGTGAGGTGAGTTGATGGAACGAATGGTAGGATTCAACTGCAAACTGGTTACTATATTTTTTTTTTATACAACATTAAAAATACTCGAGTAGGAAAAAGAATTTATATTCCAGTTTTGTTTAAATGGCTAATTTTAGGAATTTGTTTTCAACCATCCATGGACGATTCACCGGTGGATCCACCGTTGCTAGGCACGATTATAATTGTTTATTTATATCACATTAGAAGTTCGTCTTTAAGGATGAATTTCCTCTATAGGTCTCCTTTCTTTGAAATGTGTGATTTTTGGAACTATGCCTATATCGTATTTTTTTTTTTTTTTTTTTTTTTTTAATTTTCCCTCCATATTTTCAGCGGATATGGATGTCCTAAAAGTTCGATATTTTGGTCTTAGGACCTTATTTTGTCTAGATTCTAAGAATTTTACTTTGAATATTTATATTATTTATTTGTGATCTTACTTTCTTGAGATTGGTAAACGTTGAAAAATTTTTATTTCAGTTTTTTTTTCTGTTCCTCTCGTTACCCTTACCATATTTTATCAAGATTGATTAGGGTGAGGGAAGGCCAAGAAAAAAATATCTGACGTGTACTCTCACACGACTTCCCTGCCTATTCCAGACATGTTTTTATATCTTTAAATATATTTATTAGGAAACAAGCAAAAACTAGAATTAGATGTATTTTTCTAAATATTGATCAAAGAAAAGATTTGAGAAAGATTTCTGTAATAAACTTAAAGCAATGTAAACCGGCTTGTGGAAGATCAGTGTAAAAATTCTAATACACTCTATTATTGCTGATCAGAAACTTTATGCCTTAGCCCAATTTTGTCAGACAACAACTTCTATTAAAAGTAGAGTAAATAGTAAAAGTAGTGTGATGCGGCCAATAGATTTTTTTACTTTCACTTAATTTAATTTTCTCTCTCTCCCTTTTCTGGCAAGAGGATTTGAACTAATAAACTTACATAAGAAATTTAATACATGTAGCTTCATTAATAGTTGTCCGAAATGTGCGATTTTTATATAGGTTTGTGAGGAATATCATCACAAAGTATTTAATAAATAAATTTTACCATAGGTTATATACTTAGCGGGTGAGACCCCAAAACATTTTTATTTTCTTTGTAACTTTTTCTCGAATTTTCTCGGAAATATAGTATATGTTTGAAAATTGAAAGGGCATTAATTAGAAAATCATAAGAAAATTTCATCAAAATTGTTTGGGCCGTTTTTGCGCTACTGTCGATAGAAAAATATGTTTTCCACTTATTGCTCAGCCGCTATAGCGCACGGATCATCCAATTTGTGTCACAGGCATTAATAGTCAAACCACTACAAATTAAAAAAAGAAGAAACGAAATAGTTCTACTGGTTCCTGTAGGTAAGTAAAAATAAATAAGATAAAAAAATGATCAAAAACTAGAAAAAAAAGGCCTAAATTATCGATCTTGAGGGAAGCTCAGAGAACCAAAGGAATCCCGAACTCATACAATTTAATATAGGGGAAAAATTGCCTATCGAAATTTAAATATCTCAAAAAAGTTCAAATGACCATAATTATGCAACTACTTGTTAGAATTAGGTGAAACTTGGAAACTGGATGATTTGGCATAGAATAGACGTTGTTTTCATTATATTATATTTTTTGTTAATATCCATTTTAACAGAATCAGGGTTATATTATAAATTAGATTAGGTAGAGCTTAAGGGAAATGGAATAATGCAGTTTTTTTGTAACAATAATTTTCTCATTTATTGATTGTCTTTCATCAATCATTCTTCATGAATTTCTGGTCCTTCTCATATGTATCAATCAAACTTCAATGATCACTAATTTTAAAAAGAAGAATCTTTGTCAATACCAGTAACTTTGATAAATGTCTTTTTCAAGTTCTCAACTGCGTCTTTAGCCACATCGTCATCACGTTTCTGAAATAGAAGAAAATTAAATTAAAAATATTAATAGCTATTATTTAATCATGAAAAAACAATTTTAAAATAATAAAGTATCTATGTTAAGTAGTCGCAAGAGTTATTATAAACCAAAGCATTAGTAATACAAAAACTCATCTACGGTTTTATTCTGATACATTAGAAAGAAAATATTATAAAGTAAATAAGTAATTTACACTTACGCCATTGAAGGTAACATAAGGAAAAAATCTTTTCTCAAATTGATGTGTTTTCTCTGCATTATCATCAAACAGTTCCCATCCTTCATCTGATTTGTAACAATTTATTATTTTTTGATAAATACCAGCTGGAAGTTCATTTTGGCACTGGAAAATATGTAAAGCAATTTTAAACACTATTTCAAACTTAAACGTTTTATAATAATTAACCTTTTTTTTTATTGATGATATTTACAACTGTATTACAAGTAAAAATACATTCAGTAAATGTGAACAAAAGAATATAGAAACATGAAATCACTTGTTGAGAAACTACCCAGAGGTATCACTCTATAAATGTATTTACAAAAGCAGATCTCGAGACCATCCTCTTTTCAGATGCCTCGGAGGGTTGTCAGGGATCGAAGAGGAAGGAAGGTTAGAAACGAGAGGGTTTGGATGGTTTTGAAGTTTGTTATAGAAGGATAGGTATCTGGAATGGGCCAGGTCAGAAACATAAGGAACATTAAGGTCGTTATGGATGATTTTGTTTGTGACAAAGTAAAGAGCAGTGCGGATTTTACGAAGGATTTTGCATTGTAAGGATTGAATACGAGAGCAATTCGATGGCTTAATAATTATCTTAAACAAAAAAAAAATGCCAGGATGATTAGGTTTCTTTAAATTCTGTCCAACACAATAATAATAAAAGTCCTAGCAAATCTAGGTTTCTTTAAATTCTGTCCAACACAATAATAATAAATGTACTAGCAAACCCGAAGCTTCGATGCCGAAACAACCAATCACTGTCAGTTTACTTCTTGAATCCTCAATTCCTCAATCCTCCTACCATCGCTTCAGCCGAGTCCTCAGACGATTACTTGACGGTACAGAACATATTTAACTTTTTGAGATATGTTCGTAACTAAGCTCAATATTTTTACACTTCTATTATATTGACAGCATCTTCTCAATTAGATTATACGTTTCACACAATTCGCCGTTGTGTAATCCTCTAAATTATCTATATGACTCCTCCTTATTTGGAAAAAATATTTTGCGCAGTACTTTATATTCCAATGCCTTAAGACGTTCTTATATCCTAATGCACGTTTCGCATTCGACTCGTATGAAGTATAATAAATTCTAATTTTTCAGTTTCGGGACAGAAAATGAGAGCGTAAAGTAAATTTACAACGGAAAAATAATAACCATTTACACTCTTATGTCAAGGTTTTTCTTTAAGTTTCTTAATATGTCTACAGTTCTGTGAGCATTAATTTTTTTAAACCCTAAATCCAATCGTTACGAGTCCAAACATTCTGGTATTTTATTTACATCTTTGTATATGTCTAATGTTATTCAGAGATTTTATAAGATTCTATTTATATTATTTTAAATGTAAATGATACTCCTATTTTTAGCAATCAAATCGAATCCAATAAATTGAATTTTAAAAATTATAAAAAAGGTAGTCTCCTATCCAAAAATAAATCCTGGCTCTACTACTAATATTTATCAATCTCTTTAATATTATCCTTGATCTCTCTCCATTATCATGATCCTCGGCAGATGATCCCAAATCATTAACCTTATTCTCAAATTTCTCTAATTGATTTCTAATCAATGTATATTTTAATTTATCCAAATTAAAATTTATCTTAATATAACAAATAAACTGTTTTATTATCCATGTTAAATCAAGACATGGATAATAATTCCCTCCTTGTCATGAGAAGGAGGGTCTAAGTTGCACCAAATGAGTTTAGAAGGTTTATATTTCTTGTATGAGTTATGACGGAGATTCAAAATCCAAGTTTTCGAACTCGGCGGCCCTCTCTCTTCCCTCCAGATCACATTTTAAACCCCCAAAAACTGGTACATTTTCGTCATTATTTTTCGTATTTTACCCATTGTGACCATAAAGGAGGACGTTTTTGACAACAATGAATCTATACAGTTTTAAACTAGATTAAATATTCAACAATTAAACACCAGAACAGGCTAAGTTAATGAAAGTTAAGGAGATACAGATTTTGAAATTTTAGATAAAAATTTAACTTGAAAATTTTAAGCTTTTTTTGATATTTAATCATATGCAGTTGTTTTTATATCTTCAATAACCGTTCTTGTATGTTTCAGGCAACATTTAAACTTTTATTCATTTTAACATACACTAGTAATACTAAGGCATACAAAATAGTGAATGAATTTTTGAAACTTGAAAATGTTAAGCTAATTGCATGCTATGTCTGCAATAACCTGCATTATAATAGTTAGTGAAGTTAACATTTATTTAAGTTATTATTTTTAAGGAGCAGGTAGATGGGTAAAAGAATGTCTATATATATTAAGAGCTATAAATAATTGATAAAATATTGAATATTTAATAGTTGACCTTTACATTATAAAGGAAGATAATGGTCCGAGGTGGCGGTCATAAATAGGCTGGATAGTGGCAATAAAATAGTTTTGCCACTATTCAGTCTATTTATGACCGCCAACCCGGACCATCTCCTTCCTTTTTAATAGATAAAATAAGTAAGCTATAACCATGGACCTAAGTCATTTTTTGTGTTTGATCTTTTTTGTAGGCGCCTACCTAGTGCTTTTCCGCGGATTATGTGTTTTTTCTAAAGAACTATTACAAATATGTTGAACATTAATCTGGGATTTCGAAAGATAACTATATCCTCTAGATGTTTTAGATCAGGGCGTTTTTCTTTATTGTTGAACGTTTAATTACCAGTAATCCTTGATTTTCTGCTTTAGTTTGAACTATGTAAAAACATTTACTTTACCGGTATTTTTTATGCCAAAGCCAATTTATTTCAAGAAAGCTATAATTTATTTCACAATGGTTTATTATTTCCCAACAATTATACATCTAAAGTAACATTACCTTTCTACTGAAACATTAAAAGTAATCAAATGTTAATTCCAATTATTTGCCTGAACATTTTTTTGTCATCATTAGTAATTTGCTAAAAAAAAAAAAAAAAAATATCATTGCTTCAGTAACACATTCAAAAATAAAATTTTATAACAAATGATTTACAGTAGAACATAAAAACATCTAGCGATCATATCTTTGCTCCTAGTTGTCCAATTTTAACGATTTTTTTTGTTTGTTTTTCGGAAATTTCCAAATACAATATAAAAAAAAAGTTTATACATTTTGAATTATTCGGAATCCAACTTTACCATCCCTCATAACTTTGTTCCCAACTTCTTATCGTTGAAGTACGTTATATAGATAAATTCAAAGGGCATCAAGAAGAAGACTTTAGTCGAGTTTAATTGAAATCGGTACATTCGTTTAGCCGCTACAGTCAACAGCAACGCAGGATTTTTGGCCATATTTTAAAACTAAAAGGCGGATAGTAATTTCGACGAAGGAGGATCCTCCACGGTTGACTCTGATTTTAAAACTAAATTTGAAAAAAATCGGTCAAATTGTTTCAGAGAAAATTTGTGGACGGCGGACGGCGAACGGACAAAAAAATTTGTATTCTTTTTCGAATTCTAGGTATCCTGAAACGTAAAACCTCAAATTTTGTGAGGGGATCAAGTTTTGGAATTTTTCATTCGATTACAATGGTTCATTACTGAAAATAATAAACCAAAAAACATTGCTTCATTATACTCTGCTTATCCGGCTTTAATAAAAGATCAACTATGACAAAATTAAGCCAACTGCTTAATCTAAGTGACCGAAAAACTAACTCAAGTCAAAGCCGTCACCTAGCCATGTTTGGAAGCCGATTTGGAACAGCGCGGCTATTTCTTTTTGTGGTAACATTTCCTTTTTTTTAATATATAGTTACAATCAACAATTTATAGTGATGTGGGGACTACCCTCTTCCACCAATCCTCCCCTTCTCTTCTTCTCTCCCCATCGCCCCTCCTTCAAAATATTAAAATAAATAAATATTCACTTCACTGACTCATATCAGACAGGTTGTTGAAGATAAAAAACAACTACATATGATAAAACATGAAAAATAATTTTAATGGAAAATAAAATTTTCTAAAATTTGAAAATATGTATTTCGTAAACTATTTGATTTATTGAGAAAGTTCTGGTTTTAAATTGTAACATAATTAATTTACATTGTATCCGTCATGGATGAAATGGGAGAAACCCAACAAAAGTGTGAAAATATAGCAGTTTTAGGGATATCCAAAAGAGATACGGGGAGAGAGGGGATGGCGAGGTCGAAATCTTGGATTTTCCATCTTAGTCATGTCCCATTCAAGAATATAAAAATAAAGAGAGAGAGAGAGAGAGAGAGAGAGAGAGAGAGAGAGAGAGAGAGAGAGAGAGAGAGAGAGAGAGAGATTTAATAACCACTCACATATTACATCTTAGAACTCCTTACTTTACGCTCCTCTATCCACTCTCTCAATACCAGATCTCAACCTATAGATTTATATATCACTTCCAATAAAACCACTTCCTTCAGTAAATCCTTCGTCATTCGTGCTATCTTCTGCTGGAGCTCCTTACCCATCTTCATGCGTCAAACCACGTCTATAAACTCCTCCAAACAACTCCTATTCCATCACCTACTATAAATTCAAACTTCCGCAAGCTTGTAAAAATTTTTGGGTTATATAATTACGTTGACCATCAGTAGTTAATTGATAGAAGTCATTTTATTTTTATTTATTAATTTTTTTATCTCTCAGTATTATATTGTATATATCTGTGTTTATCGTTATTATGTTTTGTAGATATTTATATTTTTCTTGCTACTTATATATATGTACATATGTGTGTGTGTGCGTGTGTGTGTGTGTTTGTGTGTGCTTACAATTTCCTAGGTATTTTTTGTATATATTTGTATAATACTTACATGCCAGACTAAGGTACATATTTTGTAAACTCTACTATTATTCTAACGGGACTTCTCTCCCAGAATAAAATTATTTTTCATTTCATATTCAATAACCCACTCATATGTATCATTATAAACATGAACTTAAATTATAAACATCGAAAACGTATTTTTCAGATAGCATTAATTGTCTAAATATTAAAATATCATTAAAGTTAACTCACATCTATTTCTCTATATTTTTAAAATATAAATTTGATTCTTTCACTCACCTTGTCAATTGGATATTTATGTTCCAACATTTCGAAGTGTTTAGATAATGTTTCATTTGCTAAACATGAAATGTAATTTAAAGTTGTTAATGTGTCAGGGATATACTTGATGGCACAAGCATGTAACTTGTTCCCATCACATTCGGATCGACCATGTTGACACCAAATATCTAGCCACTTACTCATATTTAACTGAAAAATAAGTAATCAATTAAACTAAACTGTTTATAATATAACATCATATAATATAAAATGAGAACAAATGAAAATAAAAACTCCAACAGGTTTATATTATTATAGCAATATTAAACGGAATAGGTGCTTTTGAAATGTTGATTAACGCATGACGGAATCGAGTTGTAGACTGATAATGAAATAACTTTTATTTTTAAATTTCAATTTTTTATTACATGTACTTATTTATATTTGGTTTTTTTTTAAATCCGCTTGTTTATCTATTCTTCATTTTTTTAATAAAATCCTGAAATAATATTCTATTTTGGTGCGAGAAATTAGTATATTTATTAATTAATTTTCCTTAAATTTGGAAAAAAGTATTATAAAATGCGAAATCCGAAGGTTTCTAATTGCTAATAATTTAAGAAATTTTCAGTATGATATGAACTTCTGAATGACAAATTTCATCTGTGTATTAGAATCACATATTTTATTTAGCAATCTAAAGTGATTAAAGATGTTTACGTTGTGATGATAAATTACATTCTGGTAAAATCGCCTACGGTCTTGTTCCGCTACAAATCATTCAGATGAGAACTAATACAACTCATAACAAAAGTACCTTGTTACTTATTATATAATTAGTATATTTTTAGGTATAGTAACTCAGTTACTACATTACATCTGATTAATAGTATTTATAAAGTAATGATTCTTTGTTCCCTAATAATCATTTATTGTAACTAACACTTACAGGAGCCACTTGTCCATATGGAACCAATTCAATTTTTGAAATTAAGGAAGCGAAATCATAATCTGTGTCTGTATAAAGCGGAAGCAGTTGTTTCGGAAAGAAATTCTCACACTTGGGGCATAAGGTCTCGTAGTAAACAGTAATTTCAACCTGAAAATAAAATAAAAATTAGTTGCACTACCTTTTCAACTTCAATTTTGGTTATTCTGTATCTAACAAACAAGCATTAGCCACATATAAAATATTTTTGTATTGTGTGATATTTCAATGTCAACAGAAATATTTTAAAATAAATACTAGCGGGCCTGTGCAAATTATTCGCAAAAAATTTTGTTTAGTGAATAAATAGCAAAAACATATGGAAAAAGGTAGATTCTATGTATTATATAAGGAAGGAATTAATATTTTTTCCTTAGTCGATTGCAATATTTCAATTAACATAATAGACCAAAATATTTTTACAAATTGCTTTGCTATGACTTATTTTTAAACGATGGCTGGAAAGATAATAAAGCCTCCCCATCGCCCCTCCTTCAAAATATTAAAATAAATAAATATTCACTTCACTGACTCATATCAGACAGGTTGTTGAAGATAAAAAACAACTAGATATGATAAAACATTAAATGTAAAAATATTTTTACAAATTGCTTTGCTATGGCTTATTTTTAAACGATGGCTGGAAAGATAAAGCCTCAATCATAGATTTTTTAAACTATTAAAAAAAATAAAATATAAGAACAAACGAATTCTTCAAGAAATTTCAATGTCAACAGGAGACCTTTAATTTTTTTTTTTTTATTATTAACGAAATTTACAACTGTAATTAATAATAAATACAACAAGTAAATATGAACAAGTTATATGACATGTACAACATGAGGAGAAACTACCCATTGGTAGCACTCCAATTATATTTCTATATTAGAAGGTCCCGAGGCCATCTTCTTTTTAGACGCCTCGGAGGGTTATCAGGAATAGAAGAGGAAGCAAGGTTGGAAACGAGAGGGTTCGGATGGTTCAGAAGTTTATTATGAAAGGACAGGTATCTGGATCCTTTAAAATAAATATAAGAATCAATTTATTTAGATAAATTATGTTTGTAATATAACCCCGCTCACTGTTTATTTATCTTTTTTTTATTGGGTTATATCATATGATAATTTAAGAAACCTTTAACTATGATAAAGAGTTCAACCGCACCATATTTTCAATAAATTAAATGGAATAACATCAAGATAATAATACTAAAACACACACACACACACACACACACACACATATATATATATATATATATATATATATATATATATATATATATATATATATATATATATAAACAATTAAGATACTATGAACATATGACTCTATGTAAGTTAAATTACTCAAAATACCTTAAATAAAAAGTTACTTTATAAAATATTTACAAAAATACAGGAATAAATCTATAGACAAATTATTAAAAATATATATATATATATATATATATATATATATATATATATATATATATATTATATATATATATATATATATATATATATATATATATATATATATATATATATATATATATATATATATATATGTATACATATTGACTTGATCAGAACCAAGGCTTTCTCTACCTATGGAGCTCAAGGAGATCCTAGCGCTTCACTCTCATTCAAATAATTGATATTAAAGAACAGCAGTGGCTAAGGAAGCTATAACCACAAACGTATACCTCTTGAGTCAGTTCGTTACCGGAACTCCAATATATATTTATTTACAAAATGTCTTGGGGCCACTGCTGTACCAACCTCCTAGCAGGATTGAAAGAGTGTGTTTAAAAAAAACAAAAATATATGGTACATTTCTGCTTCAATATATTAATTAAACAGAAATAATCAAAGATTTATAAAATAACTGAATTTTGTGTTTAAGATTTTGTGCCATTTGCACCTGCGCTGCAGTACACCTTGCAAACTTGGTGAATTGGGCATTAGCTGCGAGTTTTCTTGATTAAATTAATTTATTTATTATTGTATAATTAGATCGCTTGGCCATTTGGTTTTTAGTCTACGCCGATTAAGTTACTGGAAGAAAGAAAGGGACAGAAAGAGTGGTTTGGATGATTGAAAGTAGAAGAATGAAATCTAGTGTCGTGGATGTACGGTTTTACTGTTTTTAAATATTTTTTTCCATAAAACTGCAGGAAAAACCCCTCCCCCACTCCCCGTAGATCCACATGTGTTCCTCAGTAAACGAAATATAATTTACTTCAAACGGCATTATATCTATTTGAGGAGGATTTATTAGCGGTTAAACTGAGCTGAAGTGGTTTTTAAATTTAAAAAAAAAAATCATTTTCCAACTATACTACAGTCACGTAAATTTAAGAAAAACGTTCCGCTTTAATAAGCTTCATGACCATATTAATTAAATTGAGTGTTATTATGAAAAAGATTGAGATTCCCCTAAAGGTGTTTAAAAAAAATACTACGATTTTATGTCATGTCACCTAAAGTACTTATGTTTTCACCAAAAATGACTACAACTTTGTTGTTGTTCCATGTCCTGGGATGTATTTTAGTAAACATAATTTCCTAAATACACTTTTAATTCATATAAAATAAAAATGTCAGAAATAATGATTTTCGATTATTCATCATCTAAAGTGATAATAAAATGTGTTTTTTAATAATATCGCTATTATAAAAATTGATCCGCATTTATAAGTGACGAAATAAATATTTCTAATCCAAATATTTCCATTTGAAACTAAGAACCTTACTCCTTCCTTCAATTATTTTGATAAAAACGTGAATATAATAATCAGGAACATTTTGTCATTTACGATAAGGGATCAATTCATCTAATAGAAACTAGAGTGAAAAATACAGCTTTATAATCACTTCACATGAAAAATGTTTGTAAAATCATAATTTTTACTCCATGTCATGGAAAAAATTAAATAAAACCTTTGGAATAATTTTCTTTAGGGATTTTTACTGAAAATAGTGGTATTTTTAGGTGACAGGATGTAAAATCATTTTCACAAAATTTTCATCATTTTTTAAATAAAAATTGAGGTAAACCTCAATTTAATTAATGTTGATTAAAAGTTTATTAAACGAGGCAGTTGTCCTTAAAACAGGGTATCTGTAGTACATTTTGAAAATTATGAAAAATCGCGAATAATTTATGATTTTTTCAAGACAGATCTCACCTGAGTTTAGCAGCTCAAAAGATCTCTTTGTACGGTTTTCACAATGACAAACAATAAATAACGTTGGAATAAATAACTTCATTTGGAGTGCATTGTCTTAATCACTAATAGATCAGCAGCTGTACATTAAACACATACATATGTACAAACAAATATTAAATTAATATAATATAGTTACATTGTCACTTACTGGCTCTACATTTTTACTGGAAGGTCTGGCCAAAACACAGCTGACTATGGTAACCAATAAGATGAGTATAGCCATTGTTTGTGACTTTTGATTACTGTGTTCCATACATGTTACTTTATATATATACGCGCATATACACTTTGTAGTGGGGATAATTACGCCATCGACTTGAAGATATCGAATAAGTGTGAAGTATATCTCTAAAGATGTCATATCTATTGGGTTTGATATCTTTATGATTTTCTTTTTAAATGTTTCCATGCTCATCCATTAAAATATAGAAATAGCTGAACATAATCCAATAATGTGCTTATTCAATAGTGTACTAAATATTTAATTTTGGGGTCACCACCGTGGTGATATGGGGTCGCTGAGGATAAATATAACTCAATATTTGATATGAAAATATTAAAAACTAACTTGAAATATTAAAAAACATTTTCGCTTATTATTATTTCAGTTAAACATAGCAAAGATTAATGTGAAACAAAATAAGGCAACTCAAACGGATGAAGAAAAAACATATTACTATTTTATTTTTTTTTTTTTGTTAGGAAGCTGCTTAAATTACTATGTTGCAATAAAAACTTCCAATTAATGAAAGCAATTGTTTATTTGCTATAATTCATTCCAAACTTAAAAGTTTCGGGATACGATTCCCATCATTAGTACTTTATGCCCGCTTTTCATAAGCAATTCAATAGTTAGAAAAAGGGTTCATTAAAATTGAATAATTGTCATAAAAACTGACAATGTAATGTTGTTACATTTTTACTATACTTATCTAAAACCTCGTGTGCTCTTGTAATTATTTATTGTTTTTATTATATATAGGAGTGATATCTGATGCAACACATTTATGGAACTAATAATTGGGCGTCAGTCACCTAATTTGGGTATTGACCTCTGTACCAGATTATTTGCATTTTTTTCTATTGTTGTCTATGTTTGTTATATAGCAGCGCTTTATGTTCACTATATTTTATTTTGTTTAAAATTTCTGAATAATGTGTTACTAAATATTTAGTACCTTTTTTTAATAAAAGCAGAAATTTATTAAATTATAATTGAGAATTTATACTTTACGGTTACTCTAACATAATCAACAAGATATGGTACCAGACGCTTACAAAATGCATCAGTAAATCAAAATGATAACAAAACCAAAAAACAAGAAACACTCAAAACACTGCAACAAATACACCAATTCATTACCCATTTCTTTGAAAAAATAAACACAAGATGCAATTACAAACAAGACAACATTTCACAAATAAACAAAATGAACATTAACACCAGCCACAAAATGTCATACATAGCTGTACTTACAAAATTAAGGACATGTTTAAAAATTGTGACTTACCAGAAATCAAACTTGGAATGTAAAATAATTAAAAACTAAGCAAATATATTATCACCACAAAAGATAAAATGTATAAGTATAAAGTAATTTATAAATTAAAATGTCAACGTTGTCCTAAAATCACTAAAACCAGCTCATTTCCCATTGCAAAAACATAAAATGCACAGCATACCATAGTATAAAAGTATAACACAATTTCAATTTTAATAAACCATAAAGAACAAGAACTGAACTAAAAAAATAATAATAGATAATCGTCATCCACATCACAAAAACCAATATAATAACAGTAAACTACAAAACAGACACTAAACATTTATGAACACATTATTCAGACATTGTAGGCGCAATTAAAATATAGGAAAATAAAATACTGTAATATAACCAACATTCATACAAACATTAAAAGGAACAATTGCAAATAATTTGGCACAAAGGTCAATAAGGGACACCAAGTAACTGACAGACCCGCAATTATAAGTCCCATACATGTATTACATTGCTTAAATGTATATAAATCTTAAGTATTGCAAAGGTTCATACGAGATTTTAGGTAAATATTGCAAATATGTATAAGTATTACATTGACAGTTTTGTAACTGTCATTTATAAATATTCATTTTAATGAACCTCTTTTTCTAGCTATTAATTGCTTATTAAAGATGAAAATTATATCCCGCAACGCAAACTTGGAATGAATTTTAGCAAATGAATAATTTGTATCATTAACTCATTAATTGGGAGTTTTATTGCCAACAACGTAGTAATTTTATTATTTTTTTTAACATAAAGCTTCATGTTTGTATCTGATAGTATCGATGACTACTATATTTTGTTAATTCTCTACTATCTAAGCTAAGGAACTTATTATTCCTACTGGAAGATGAAAAAACATTGTTCTCAAGTCGAATATTTTCACTCGTATGTATTCATTCATTCTATTCATTTATGACCATACTTGATTCTGTGTCTTACTCCCTGTTAGTAATCAAATCCAAATTACAGACACATACTGTAATTTTTCTTCCTCGATACCGAAGCTTAAAACTTTTAAAAAAGCTTTGAAGGGAACAGTAAAAACATTTACTTGCTCATAATCGAAAATTTCCACTCCCGTTTTAATTTTCAGATTAATCATCAAGGATCAACATTGGTTGTGTGTCCGTAGTACAATCAATGTAACGAACATATCAGCTACTGTGGTAATCTGTTCTCATAAAATTTTCAGGGATTTTGCATGTTTGGTGTCTAGATAATTCCCTATCAATTTCTTCAAATTCTATATAACATGCTCGCTTGCGCTCTGGCAAATGTAGCTATATTAATATTTCAGTAATGGCTAGTTCGAATTGACCCAAAGTTAGAAGAAATATTGTTATTCGTAAAACAATGACGGTGTATTAACTTTATCTTATTCCATCATCTGCTTCCTTTTAAATATGGCCAAACGTATTTCCCTCGATATATCTAATTCTTAAATACAGCGCTTTCAATTTGGCTCAAATTTGGAGTGAAGTTAGAGATTGATAAATAAATGATCAATTAGATTTGTATTCTAGAAAAATCCATCCATTAATTTAAAAAAATACTTCAGATTTCAAATTTGAAAATATATTGTTTTTATCACGCCCATAGCTGGAAAACAGCCCATCGATTTGACCCAAACTTTAAGAAAATGATATAGAAATTCCCTAGTATCAATTTCATTGAATCCTATTCCACAATTAAAATTAATATAGATTTCTTGTAAAAAATATAATAGCTGTGAAATGTGGAAGGCATTCAAGGAGGTTATATTCATAGTGTTGTTTAACAAGTTTAAAATGTTTTACACTGTATTAAAAAGTTAATTTAAACTATATGTTTTCTCTTGTTACTGACAAGACACCTCCAGCCGTTGCTTAGGTTACATGCAATTTGGGATTGTGAGGGTTGTAACTTAGATGGTCCAGGATCCAGGGATATGGGGATGACCCAGGCTTCAGGATCATGGGGGAATGACCCAGGGATATTATGTCGATTCCGATTCACAGCTTTCCCTTATATGTGCGATTTTTCTTTCCTATACGTACCGTGCAATTGTAAATTCAAATTAAATTTTCGACAGACTTAAAAAAATTACGTCATATCATTGTTTGTTCCTTTTGGATCTATACTGGCCTCAGTTGGCAGACGGTTTTGATTTTCATGAAATTTTTATATATTGTGTGAGTTGGTTCCTTCATGTTCAGACATCAAATTCCATATAATTAATTCACTCACGAACGCATAAATGTATATTCTTAGATATGCATATATTTCAAATATAGTTCGTTCGATTTGCCTCAAACTTTGGAGTTATGTATAAATTTTATCAAATTTCATCTTACTACTTATTTTTAGATCTGTGCAAACATGTTTTTCTTTGCCTGGATGTTTTCTCAATACCTGCATCCTTTTTTTGGCTCAATGTTGGAGAGAATTTCTACTTAAATTAAAGATAATTAAATTTTAACATAATACATCCACAACTGTTAAGAAAATATTTTATTAACGAAACCGAAAATAATTTTCTTAATACAAAAGAGCTTTTTGAAGAAAGGAAGGATTACCCTAGTTAGATGCCCCCTTTGATCTGGTCGTGTGCTCAATGAAAGTCTGCATTGGGGAATTCTTATTAGCCGTTACAAGTTACAGAGAATAGTAATGCTATAGCAAGTATTATCGGTAAATGTCAGTGGGACCCGTAGAACCGTGGGAATAATTAATTGAAATATGATAATGAACAAGTGAGATACGTACAGTCGCATAATAATCAGTGTTGAATATTACGAGAGAGAAGTCTGGAACCCATATTGCTGATAATGAAATATTTTTCTCTGATACAGACTAATCATAGAATGATTTGTAAATAAGTTCACGTGTAAAAAACAGTATATTTTTTTTCCTAAAAAAAAAAACGATCATAAAACTTCTAAAACCCTAATATAACAATACAATATTGAAATATCATTTTAAATGAGATCAGAGATTTTATCTTCATTTTATATTCTTTTTCTGTCATAACATACGTATCTGCTTTACAAGAAAATTTTGAACATTACAACTCGAAGTTCTGCCTTCTTTCGACACTGGCCTGCAGGAGCGAATATTTAATTTTTTTACAGATAAATATAATTTGTCTATTTTTTATTAACAAATAATCACATGATTGTAATAATTCTTCATAATTATTTGGTAACAAATAAAATTAATTTACGTTTTACCGTAAAGATAACAAGTGTTTAAAATTCAATATCTGTAATTCAGGAACAAGGATAACATTCTGAATTGATTTATTTCTTAAAAGAGAATAAATATTAAAACCTCTTTCTGAATGTTTGTTCCGTAAGCCTTCGGACTAAGACATATTATATTTATTAATATGACTTAATATTTGTTAATCTTTATTTTAAGTTTCGGAATGATTTTGTTGTGTCTTTATTTTTTTTTTCCTACTTTCCTAATTTTTGCACTACCGCCATGAAACTCCCCTTATGGGCACCCCTGCTCATTGCTAAGAATCTCTTATTAGTGGCGAAAGAAAAATATTTGTCACGGAGTGTCTAATTTTTCTCTTAAACCCCAGACTAATGGTTCCTACTTAATTCATTATTTTCTATTGTTTGTATGTATTTTATAAACGTTCAATTGTAGTCATCATACTTGTCACCTTTCAATGTGACAGATTGTAATATTATTCAACAAACAGGTTTTTCAAGGAATGAACTCCTAAGTTTGTTAAAATACGATTAAGCATAACACGTTATTTTTTAAAACCTTCGCTGGCCTCATGCGTATCAATTTGATTATATTTTTCTCATCTTGGTCGGTAACGTTGACTTTTAAATTATTAGAGTGCAATATTAATTTTTAATTCGCAAAA